CGTATTAACACTTAATTGATAAGTTGAATTAACACTAATTATATCTAATGTTCTTATCTTATTAAATATTAATAAAAACAACAGTTAATTTTTTTTTCTCTTGATAGCACTAAAGCTCGTCCATAGCTACTAAACATAAAAAAGCAAATCGATTGACGAAGAGAGGAGAAAAGATACTAGACTAAATATTTTGTCTTTATCTATTTATATACCTACAATATTGTTGTCCTTTATCACAGTCACTGTTTCATAAGTACTTAAGTAGTAATTCGTTCCTACTATATAATACAGCTGAATTGAAATATATATTTTTAATATTTTCAATGAATATATTTATGTGTTTTATCTCAATTAAGTATATATTTATGTGAGTAGAACACTCACATAACTTTAAAAAAAACAATCCACCCCTTAGAGAGATGACGATGATGAGTCATTACTAATATCACTTAAAAGTGATTTTAAAGTCGATTTAGTATTATTATTTTTATAGCTTTATTTATTTATTTTTGTTATAAAAAGTGATGATCTTTTTAATAGTACAAGCAATTAATTGACAAACTTTTATTGCAATCGAATGAACGTTATAGCAGTGCACGAAACACGAACAAAAAACAAACATTTTTTCGAAAGATGTTTATAATATATTAGATAGGCTACTTAAATCAGGATAAGTGACATTCAAAGTGAGAATATAAATTCAACGAGTGTTTTTATACAATTTTAAAAATTCACTTAAAAAATTGTATATAAATAATATCCTTGACCTAAAAGCTAAAGAAATCATTATATGTATAAGAATAAAGTCTAAAAGCCATCTTGAACAATCTTGAAACGACAAGCGGCGAGTCCCTCAGTATCATTATTAAATAAATCCTTTGTTTCAATGCACTTCTTTCCAGCGTTGTTATAAAATCTTTTAGCTATAATATTTTATTAACTTTATGCCCGTTTTATAAACAAAACTCGAGCTCAACATCTTTATAATATTATGTTTATTTAATACATGTTAAGTATATTTTAACGAATTGACTATTCGTCCTATTAAAGTACGAATAATTATTTTTTATTCGTCTTTATTTTAACTTTTAAGTACAAATAGCAACAGCCATATTTAAAAATAAATTACTTTCATTTAATAATTTTTAACCTAGCCTTCGCATAGAATAAGAATAAAAGTGTATAATTAAAGATAATTACGTATTTATAACCACCACCATTTAAATGCGCGTACGTATAAATATATTTTCAAGGAAGCTATCAATTAAGTCCAATGTGATAAATTTAATGAAATAATAACTGGCTGGACTAAACTGGAAGCGAATGAATGGATGAATGGCGACCGGCAGCAAATGAAATAGACCGGATATTTCATTCACATTTATTTTCACATGAATCACAAGTTGCCACCGCACTGACAGAATATGCGTTAATCGTATTGCAGTTAGCCTCTGCCGCATCCAGCACGAACCAACATGAAATAAATCCTGTTAAAAGCTGTTTGGACATATGCAAAGCACTTGCATGTATTTTAAGCTAGTGAATATTAAAATTTGGATATAAAATAAGTAATATACCTATAAATCATGATAGTTTAATTATTTAGAATATTGGCAAATGCAAAAACATTAAAGGAAAATTTCATATTTTTTCTTCTTCTTATGTTTTAAATATAAACCAGAAGCATTAAAACTTTTATATATAATAGCAGTTTCATAACTTCAAAACAAGTGCACCTTATACAAAATCAGTATTTTCTACTAACATTAATTAAATTAATCAAATTATTTGCCTCATCGTATTGGAGCATTTAGAAATGTATGTGTAAAGTTAAACTGCTGAGCATGTGTTTGTCAGCATCAAAGCTGCCCTTTTGACGGGGCTCCAAAAGATAGCCAGACATTGTACAAATGTAATTACGAATCTATATTTGTTTGAATTAGTCAGTTTATCTGATCGACGACAGACAAAGGGTTTGATTGCTTGAATTGTGAAAACAAGTCAGATCAAAACTTTTTAATAAAATAAAAACCGATACTAGGGACTAAAAAGTAAAAATAACAAAACGGGGTTTTCATTTCCTATCTATCAGATATTTCCGAAGTTGATGCCAGCCGATAATGCTTTAAGATATGAATATTTAATAGGTAAATAAATAAGAAATAGGTAATAGGTAAATAAGAAATAGATTTGGTTTACTTTGCATCGGCTGGCACCGACTTCGAAAATATCTGTTTAGGTATCTATTCTAAATGAAAACCCCCGTTCAGTTATTTTTTACTTTTTAGAGACTGGAAGTGGGTTTTTTTTTGTTTTTATTTTTCCACTTTTAGTGTAGACATAATAAGCAGGTAATTTGTAAGAAGAAAGTTTGTAATAACACATTCGATTAAGCCATTTGTGTTGTTAGTATGTTGCTAAATATATAAAGACTAACATATTAAATACTCACTTTTATTAGTAATACTAAAATTTAGGCTCTAAATTCTAACGTATTGGGCTTATTAAATCAAACTAAAGAAGCCCAAATTCCAACTATTTACTAGGAGCTGTTGAAGAGTTCCACTAACCGTCTTTTGGCCTCGCCATCAGAGCAACTCCAAGATACCAAATTACTTATACTATCATTAGAATCAGAAACACTTGTAAAGTTTCAAGTCGATATGAAAATATTATAAGTAAAAAAGCCTAATTAAATCTGTTAAAATACTTGAAATTTTATGATTTTTCCTGATTTTCCTGAAAATGGTATACATTATGCCAAAGAAAATTTTATGGGATCACTTTGGGACCTACTTTAATACAATACCGTTTAAAGTAGCAAAATCGGTCAAGCCGCCTCCGGGAAATCGGTGAACATACATAAAACAAAACATACATACAGACGAACGTAGATAGAACCTTCTCCTTTTTGGTAGTCGGCTAAAACAGGCAATATTTTATAGCGATATATTAGTCATTCATACACACATTATCACTACATACTATAACATAAAGTGCTTTTTGGCAAAATAAATTCCCGAAATAAACGCATTATTGTACGTATATATTTGCATCTAAACCTAGCATAGTAAAACGCATCGCGTACATTCCCTAGCATGCATTAAAAAGTAATTAGAATAGAAGCTCTGGGTTATCCACAAAGTGCATTGCTATTTGCTGCAATGTATTAAACCAGCCCTCTTGCAGAAAAAGGAACGGGGACGATACGACATCGACAACGCGTCGACAATAGCTTCGAAATTTACAGCCATAATAAAAGTATCGCTTTTATTGTCGAGCACACAATTCGTTCGGACAGCTGTAATTGCGAACTCTCGCTCTGTCTATTGGATCGCCAATTTAACTCACACTATTTTAACATTGTGTTCTACAATATAACGTTGAGGTTTGGTTGTCGTTAGTGAAATATTCATTCCGGTATTTCTGGTAATGTGAACTATGTATGGCTTTAAATTAATTTTACTTTCTAGGTAATTACAAGCTTTCTCTATTATTTTTAGATTATCCAAATGTTTGACATACACGTGTTATGTAAACAATTGAATTTTTATAATATACATAAATTCTTATGCTATATATAACTTATATGTAGTAAATAATTATAATAAGTCTATGGGTTATCGAGGATATAAGCTGTATCCGTCTGATGTTCATTAAAATTCGTTGAGTCGTTACGGCGTGATTCTTCGCTTGAAAAAACACATTCACTTACGCGAATATATAATAAATAATTATATATGAGTGGTACAGTACTTGTATTTATAGCCTTATTTTAATATATATACACCCGAGATATCCTAAAGATGAAGGTTTCAGACTAGGCGAGACAGTGATAGGTGGTGTTTTTAGTCCTCAGAGTAGTATGCGCAAGCCCTCTGAGATAATGAGAATGTCGATAAAAAACATGATCTTAGAATAAACAGCATTCTTTCTATTTATTTCCCTATATTAAAGTTATAAAAAAATATTGAAAATATATATATATATATATATATATATATATATATAACAATATTTATTGATATTTTTATCTATATCTTCCAACTCCTGTATCAAAAATAAAATCATCAAAGTTTTGTACTTGTGTTAACAACCGATTGGCTAACTAGTACCTCCATACACCACAAAAGTAAAAATTCAATTGTATTTACTTTTTCTTTATTCATTAACTTTATTAGCATTTAAAATTTTACTGGTATATAAAATATACCTATATTCGAATGGATATTTTTATCACTTTTGGTCCAAAGAAAAAAACATCTCATAGACTAAATATGAAAAAAAAAACAAAGTTCTTATCAATCAAAATCCTATCAATGTTTCAGGTAAAACAGAAGTCAATTCAACAGAGCCGATACCTTGAATAACAAGTTTCTGTTTCGTTTGAATAAAAATGTGAAGAGGAGATCGTTATTTTCAATAAAATTCTCCGACTTTGTACAGTTCCGACTGCGAAACACTAATTGGGTACAAATCTGCACCGTTTCATCATTAAATGTCTTTTTTTGGTATCTTTGTTTCAAAATATTAACAAAAATTGTTACTTTTATATCAATTGATTTTATATATATTTTCTCTGAATGTAACATAAAATAATCGTATACAAGCAAAATATGCTACACTGATTTTGGCCGTATAAAATATATTATATTTGTATCTACTGTAGCAGATTTTATAATTATATGGTTCATTTCGCAACTTTTTTAAATAAAGAGGTAACAACATAATCTTCAATGAATACGTATATAATTTCATGTACGTTAATAAATACAGCAATAATAAAAAAGAAATATTTAAAATCATAGTATATCTTATATATGACGAATTGAGTAATAGCTAAATGGGAAGTAAAATCAATTGGATTATTTAGACTCAAAATTTATCTTTATTTTATTCAACTTGAAAAGAATGACACTATTTATCACTTTGCTTACAAACAATTTAATTGCTTATTATTAACATCAGTTCCAATATAAATATTTACAAATGGAAATTTAGTTACGATATAGTAGTGTGGTCAGCCATTCCGGCCTTGACCCTTGAGACTTATATTCCGGTGGACTTAGAGTTAGTGGGGATGCCGCGTCTGCCAACGCTACAGATGACGACGTTTCTGTAACAGCTATACTAGGTTTTCCTTTAATAATTGCTCTCAAATCTTCATTTTCAACAGCTCTTGTTTTTTGTAGATTTTCCCTTGTTTCTTTCATTCTCGAAAGTTGTTCCCGTAATGATCTATATTCTTCTAAAAATTTTTCTAATTGTGAAGCTCGAAAATCAAAATCATCAAACGGCTGACCCGTGCGAGAGTAATCTCGGAGACCAGATAAATCCAGGAGTGGTGTAGCGGACGGAACTGATGATTGCTCCCTAGATGGTGAAGCTGGTAAACTAGGATTACGACGCATGCGATTACCACCTACGGAGAGATCTAAGAAACTATTAGATCGACGTCCACCTGTCCTGTGACTGTTTTTCTCATAGTTTCTGTCAAGAAATGTAATTGAATCACCACCTGAACTATTTCTACGACTACTTAAAAGAGGACTACGGCTATCGCCATCTTTTCTCCTAGGTATTGTATAAAAATAATAAGGATCATGTTTCGCATCATTTCGAAAATATGAAGCTGTGCCTAAGGCACTCATTTCTATTAAATCTGGATAGTTTTTTTCACTATCGCTGCCAGAGAGATCATTATCAAGGCGATCGCGTGTACGAGGCCGACTACATGAACGAGCATTATTATTAAACCGGTTATTTTCTGATAAGATCTCCACGTGCCCACTTAAAATTCCAGCTGACTTTGAACTTTGTATCAATTCAGGAGTTGCATCAGCCCTGTAACAATAAAAATACACATAAGTAAAGTGTAATTTCAAAGAAAGGCAAAATATTAAATATTTATATGTCAGTCTGTACCCTCCGCCTTCGATCAACAAGTAATATGGTGATGATCGAAGCCCTCCGCCCATTTGCAGGAGGTACAGCGTGTAGCTTAGTATGTAATAGAAAACTTTCTTAGACAACAAATAAGGCTAATAATTAATGGGTTTTCATTTTCCCATACCACTTTTGTATACGAGTATCTCGCAGACTAAACATCATATTAAACAATCTTAAAAAAAGGTTTAATAATACATATATCATAAATATATTTTTAAATTACCTTATGTTATATTCACTTAGACGTGGTATGTGCAAATCTTGTACAACCTCTCCTTTTGTAGAAGTCGACTCTAAATCGGCTCGTCGCCATCTTGCCTCAAGAGAAGGAGTACACGTATCTCTTCGATCTCTAACTTCCTCTCTTCCGTATCCTTCATACTCCTCTTCAGGATCATGTGAAGGAACGTTTCTATAATCTCCTCTTTTTCTGTTTATATCAGACGCGACAACACGCGAAACATCTGAATTCGTTTTTAAATTAGCTTCAATTTTTTCGTAACTGTCGTGATTATTTGTAGTAACTATTTGTTCATTCCACCTATCTAGTTGTCTTTTTTTACGAGTTTCATATGCAAATAAACCTATTAAACATGAACTGAGAATAATTACAGCAGATACAGCCATTCCTGCCATTAGAGCCTTTCCGCCAAAACCTTTACTATGGGTTTTCTTTTCAATAGTTAAACTTAAAACTACTTCAGCTTTTCCAGCTCTGTTTTCTGCGTTACATGTATATAAACCTGAATCCTGCATATCTGCAGATCTTATAGTTAAATTACTCGTCTGTCCTTCACTTCGTAACATAAAAGTTCTTCCTGCATTAAAATTGGAAGTAGTAGTAGTGTTTGCTAAAAGTCGACCAGCTCGCACCCACCGTACTCTAGGAGCTGGTACACCATTAACCCTGCAAACCAAGGTTACTTCTTCTCCTTCTAGTCCTTTAAAATTATTTGTAGATCCCGTTACTTCCGGGAGGCATGCAAAGTCTTCTAAATCTAGTCGATCCCAAGACTGTGTCATCAATCTCGGAGGTGATGCACAATCAGGTACAACAGTTGCTGGCACATTTTTCCTTATCATCCAATCCCGTAAAGGTCTAAGTTCACAATTACAATTCCATGGATTACTTGCAAGTTCTAGCCCTTTTAAAGATCGTAATGGTGCTAATACTGCTACGTGAAGCACATGAAGTTTGTTTTTACTCAGATCCAAATACTCTAAGGTACCCTCTAAGCCTTTGAATCCTCTTGGCTCTATTACAGATATTTTACAAGAGCTGAGTGTTAATCTTACCATGTGCGGTAATGCTGAAAATGCTTCATCTTTGATTTTTGTTAAAGGGTTGCCACCAAGGCGGAGCTCTCGTAACTCAGGAATAGAATCAAAAGCATGTGACGGAATCGATTCTAGACGATTTCGGGAAAGGTCAAGCTCAACAAGATTTACAAGAGCGCGAAAAGCATATTGGCGTATGACTTTTAAACTACAAGAAGGAAGATAGAGACGTTGAAGATTAAGTAGCCCAGCCGCTGCGAAGGCATCATCACGAAGAGTTGTAAGGCGGTTTTCAGCTAAGTCTAGTAACTGAGTTGTGGGATCCAGACGAGGTGGCACAGCGTTAAGACCTGCTCGAGCGCATAAAGCGGATTCTTTTCCGCTCCGCCATTTGCACTCACAGTGCCGAGGACATTCGGCGGAGACGGCTACCGCCAGCGCAAGCATTAGCAGAACCCACATGCCACGCGCCTGATCAACCAGCGCCACACCTGCCGTCTTCACCGCAAAACGTCATTCCATATGTCGCCACGTTCCTGCAAAAATATATCTAGATTATGTTATATTTCAATTAAAGGTCTCAATTCTTTTATTTATAGTACTCATTTCGTAATCTTATATATTTGCTTATTTATAATGACATTTTCTCTTATCGCAGCTCCCAATGACATGTAGTTGCTTGACAAGTTATTACGTCCACCTGAAAAGCATTAAAGTCCCCGCAGACTACAGACTTTATGTTGGCCAATAGTATTTTTTGCAAGTGCACACACTATTTTATTGTGTATCTGCCGTTGAAATGTTGGGTATTGGGTATCTATCTTAATACCATTGCTAAATTCTTGCGCTCCTTTCTCAAGTGCAGAAACGTGGCCTTACAAAAAGTAAAATAACACGAAGGCTGCTTACTTATGCATAATTATTAATACTTAATATGCAATTTAAATAAATTAGGTAAACAAGGTTAAACCATTTATTTTACTTATCGGTTACTATCCCCACTACCGCCGTTACTCACACATGAGCAGTTTTTTTTAAATTTTATATAGAGTCACATATGTTTTTAGACTGCCTGTCAATTATAGCTTATAATGATAATAATAACATTAGAAAATATTCAATTAATAACAATCTGCTTTACCTGAATAGCAATAGAATGTAAAGCAATTAATAATTTTAGAATTAATTGTTTGTGCTTCAATATTGCAAGCAAAGGTAGTACATATTATAATTACAAGATGTTAAAAATAAAATCTCAAATTATTTAAATGTTATATAAGACGACGATATAGTTTTTTAGTTCATTAGTTGGGCTTTTGTGCGCTCGACATCAACCTAACTGTTTAGTTGGGCGTTAGGAGGCCAACCCAACCATTTATCGGGCCGATTAAAAGTCTGTGGTCTACGAGGGCGCTAAGGCTTGTGGAATTATGTAATGGTACAACTTCACATTTAACACTGAAAATCTTTGATAACTAAACCTGCGTCTATATTTACAATAATAAGATTATAGCATTACTTTCTAATATTCCTTGCCCTTATGGTGTAAACAATTGTGCACGTTAAGTATAAAATTCATTTTATTTGTAAAAAAAGGTCGTGTTCAAAGTATTTCTGGTCCGTATTGAAAATTATTCTAAATGATCCGTGATCAACAATTCTGAGGTTTCCTATCTACTGAAGTCACACATGCCTTTCCTTCATATCAGTATTTATATTTGAGAATAAACAAATTATATTATTTGCTAAGCGTTTTCTGTAGAAATAAATTTTCAAAAATATTCCCTTGTGTAGTTAGCACGTGTAATAGCCACATAGTACAAACGTCAACATCTTAATATTTACATATATAATTCTTCTGTACGTGTGTTTGTTAACCTACTCCTCCTAAAGGACTAAACCAATTTGGATGAAAGTTTGTGTGTATATTTCAATGGGCTTCTGGATGGTTTGAAAACACAAATGGACCCAGTACGTGGCGCTGCAGTCGGTGTGCCACTAAATTTTCATAAAAAACTCCATTTTTCGAGCAATAAATAAATTTAAATTGTGGTTAAATTAAATAAAAATCGATATATACACGCGTATGTATGTTTCCTATGGACTCCAAAACAACTGGAGCGATTTTGATGAAATTTTCAGGTAATCTTCAGATTAGCCCAATGGGTGATCCTCTGAATTTGTTACCGATCGGATGTTTGGACGCGGGCGAAGCCGCGGGTACTGCTAGTAACAATGTAAATACTTATACCAAGCGCGTATCAACTTCCAGTGAATGTCAATAAAATAAATTACCTAAGTATTATTATTATTACAATTACCCTTCATACGTTTACAAAAACCTTTATATTACTTATTAAATTAAATGTAACCGCGTCTTTGATATTTACGAGTATGTCTTGTATCAATTAGTAGTAGTAGTATTTTAATATAAAAAAGTAATGATTCTTTATGAAATATTATGAAATTAGAATTCAAAACGTTTTATTTATAATAATTAAAAAAAAAGCCAAGAAAAATAATTTCGGTCGCCGTTATCGTAAAAATGTAACGGCACCGGTCTCGATAAGAATCATATCAAAAATGAAATCGTTTTTGAAGTCTTTATTTATTTGTTATATTTATTTTATCTTTTTCAATGTTTTCGTTTAAATGTGCTTACTATAAAAGAGAAAAACATATTTTTGTAAGATAAAATCTATGTTCATTCTAATGGATTTCAGTTTTCATTTTGTTTGATAAATAAGATTCGTAATAATAAATATACAAGTACCTTTATACAAAAAGTAATAATAAATTATTTTTAAGAATCTACTTGTACACACTGTTTTAGCCCTAACAAGTGTAATTGTAGACATCCTAATAAAAACAATGGTGGCTGTTAATAGATATTTTATAATAGTAATATATAATCATTACTTGCTGACTCACCTCAAATTTTCATTGTCGTTGATTTAAAGGAACGTCGTTCGATCGTTATCTGTAACCGAAAATAAAAGTATGTAAGTTAAAAAAACAATGGACAAATTAATATTAAATTTAATAGTTACCAAAGTAAAAAAAAACTTTTTTATTATTATAATTCGACTATTGTTCGTGTGTGATATATTGGGACAAATATTTTTATGTTACTATAAAAAACAATTCTAACTTATCAAGATATATAGATTTTTAAGAATATCGATAGTTAAAACTTTAAGTTTCGAATACGATCGAATTGATTTAAATTAAAAATCTTTATCACCCGATAGGTTAGAACTATCTTGTTTTATTATGACGTAGTAATATTCGCCTAATATCTCCTTTTCTGTTTTTACATAAACACTCTTGAACTTAAAAATTATTAGGATTTAAAAGAATAAGTTTTCAGCTCATTCTAGGTTATTTTTTTTTGTATATAGAAACTCCTGCACCTAAAAATCACTTATTTGACATTAGAAAACAAAAAAGTGGCAAATATTTGTACAGACCGACCATAGTCAGACGAATAATAACTTCTTAATCATTCGATTATCGGACGAATAACAAGTATTATTTTATATTTCTTAAGAAATTTACATGAGTAAATTTTTTTCATATTTCATCAAAAATAACGATGACGTCACATTCTCTAGTCACATATCTCCTCCTAATGGAGGTTAATATACGGATAGAACTGTAAGTCATAATTCAGAGTTATCCTGCGTCAATGTATCTAGACCAGATACAAGGCTGAAATATTAGAAACAAAATCGATTTAATATAACGAATTTATTGCTCTTACGTAAAAGTATTTATAATTTCTAATAAAAAATCTTATAAAAAAATTAATTACATACACAAGTTTTTTCTAAAACGACACAATAAATGGTATATATGCTATTCGTTGGTAAGTGCATCACTTAAGAATGGCTGAATCGATTTGGTAAACTGTGCTTAATAGGAAAATTCTTAATAATGTTTAAGGAAAAAAATGACCGTAATATTAGGAAATTATGAAGAAAATGAAAGTGTTTTTTATATAGAATTTCTGTATGATTTCAAAGATCATAAACTAAAATGAAAAAATGTGACAAGGAACGCCTATCAGGTCTGCTGGTGCTGTAAAAAAAACAAAAGAAGAATCAGTTACTGTACGCGTACATTAATACTGTTGTACAGACAAACAGGAAAATCGATACAAAGATCAGTAAGTAGTAGGTTTACGAAGAACCTTCTATTTAGAGAGATTTCAGGACTCTGCTCACCTATTTCGCTAACAACCTCAGATATTTATTTTATAGCTAGAAAAGCCCCAGACTCGAATCTTATTATATTTACCTTACTTTTTTTATTTCGTTGTTTACTTTAGTTGCTTGGTCTTAGCCTATTTTTATTTTTTATATCATCATGGAACTTTTTTATTTGTAATGGTTTCTAAATTGAACATAATTTAATTTTTTTTTTAATTATTTAAATTTTTACTTTTATATATTTTAACAAATTGAAAATTCTGTTCCTTTTATAACTTTTCTATGATGGCAACTTTAACAAATCTATCGGCACTTACAGTTCAGTCATGCATACTTAACATATGAACAAAATCGTTTTGATAGACATTTCGCTTGTTTGATAGACAAGGAATTAAATAAAAAATAAAAAAAAACCGACACAATAATCTATACGATGAGGCCATTTCAATGAGTCGAAGTGCGATGTCTCTGCAATATTTTAATAAAGTGTTGAGTATCTTGCAGATTCCAGGTAACACTGCAGCATAAAACAAGTTTACCATAACGTTGCAATACCATTACAGTAACAGAATACCAATATTCGAATGGATTAGATCTGTGGAAGTTGCTCACATTCTTTTATATAGAAAATAGTTGATGACCTGCAAACGGCTGAACGAATGTTATTGATTTATAGCTAAGAACACTTTCGATCAAATCACCTTTAAAACAAAAAAACTAAATTAAAATCGGTTTATCCGTTTGGGTAAATCATCACAGCAAGACTTTTAAACAAGTACTAATATTAAAACGTAATTTGAGAGTTTACGCAAGATGATCATCAAAGGAATTTGTTCTTTGACTTAGACAAGTTTTGGGTTTCCATTTTATAATAGTGACTTTCGCGTGTAGCTGAAGAATAAGTAAGGGTCATTCCGCATACAGTATGTAGTTTGCCCTTTCGCAACACGCAATCGCGTGCTTACCGCGGCACGCGGTCGCACGCTTAAGCTATAACCATGAAAACTCAGCAATAGTACCAGTTAATTCAATATTAGCTCTCAGGATAAAGTTAGAATTCTCAAAAAGGTTAAGAAAAGGTCCGATAAAATTTAATTATTTATTAATTATTTTATGTACAAGTTCGTCTAATTCGGATAAGCGTTTAATGTTATTCAGGGTTTTCAATAACTTACAGTTTAAGTTGTATTTACATAGTTAATGTTTTTTATAAATTCAATTAAAAGTAAGGTGAGAATAGAAAATATAAGA